CTTCTTTCCCCCATATATATTTTTTGATAAATTAGCAAAAGCTTCTTCATCGCTGAAAGGCTCAAAGCATTTTTCAAGAACTGGCATCCACCCCGTGCCTTATGAATTCATTAATTAAGATGCTGGCAAACAACCACTCCACACATGCTGACATCCAGCCGTGTTAGGTAATGAGGTTTTAGTCTCCTGACCCCCGTCAAGTGGAGCAGAGACAGACGCAGGCTGCCGAGAGAAATCACCTGCCCAATAGCGACCTGTCGTTTGAGCCTGGCAGCAGGTGAGGCTCATTTAATGGTCAGCAGCCCTTGAACAGTCTCTGCATGCTGCGAGCCTTTTTCCCTGGCTGGGTGGCTCCCCAACAAGGCAGCATCCAACCACCTGCTCCACTGTGGCCTCCTAACCTCTGACCAGCGAACCACACAACTGGGCCCAGATGTCAGAGGCAAGGGTTCAAGTGCCTCCACTAGCCACTCAAGCCAATTCAGTAAATATTTATTGACAGTTCACTAAGATGCCTCTATCACTTGTCTCAGAAAATTGGTAGGCTCCCCTCAGCTTTGTGCACAGTCTTTTCCAGAACTGAGATGGTTTTCATTCACACTTAGTGCTTCTGCTCCCCTCCCCTCAGGGAGCTTACAGCAGTGGCTGACATTAAACAAATAATTACATGTGTCAAGGCAGCTTTCCTCTTGGTGCTCATCCTGTCTGTCTAGGCCATTTTCTCCTCTCAACCTGCCACCATTTCTTAATCATCACTGATCCTGGTCTCTTTTTCTGATAAGGATTTTAAATGTTTCTCATTAACTTTTATTCCCTATAGCAGATACTACTAGTTGGCTGACACATTGATTCCAAACCCCTACTCCTTTGTCTGCCTCCAATATAAAAGTTAGAAAAGTTCAATAGATGCTTTCCTAGCCGCACGACAGCTAGGAGAGGTCATGACCCAGTTCTGGCCAATGAGATGTTCCAGAAGTCAGCTGAGAGGCTCCTGGGAGGTCTTATGCTTTGCTTATAAAGGGAACAAAGAGTGCTGTAGTTCCTTTCTCCTCCTTCCTCACTTAAAGTTGGATGTGGCAACTGTAACTGTGGCAGCTATATTTTGACTAAGATGAAACAGCTAAGAGAATGCAGAAATACCAGCCCTATCATAGCTGAGCTTTTGAACCAATGCCAGTAGCCACCAACTCCCAAATTTCTTATTATGGGGAAAAAAAGGATTCTCCTATTTGCTTAGGTCACTGAGATCAGTCTTCTGTAACCTGTAGCCAAAAGCTTTCCAAACTGATAGATTTTCGTACTGGGAAACAGATCCAACCAAGTACCCCCTTTAAGATGTCAGCTAAGACACTGCACATCTGTTAACTTAGGACAATTATCTATTGAAACATCTAAAGACACCAAGTTGAATGGTCCAGCTTCAAAAGAAAAGCACAATGACCAAGTAACAGCTCACTACTATCAGAGATTAAAACACAGGTTTTACATCAGCCAAAATCCTATCACTTTAGATTGAAATGCAACCTTTTCCTCAGCCAGGATCATCCTATCAGTTAGATTGAAATACAACCTCTCTCTCTTCTCACACAACATTAAAATCAGTATCAGAGCTGGTGATTTCTCCACTGAGTTATAAGTGTCTCTTGCTATTCAGAATTAACTCTCGGAAGCTAAAACTCATAGCCAGTTTCTTCCAACTCTGAGATCTCACAAGGGAGCAAATGAGTTGCATAAAAAGAACTTAAGAAGAGCCACGAGTGGGGGAAACTAGGAGGTGCCTCGGTTGTCCTGGGAGGTAACTGCCCAGTACAGCTGGCCTGAGTCAGCTCTCTGGGGTGAGTGCCGCCTGCTCAGTAATTGCTTCATTACAACAAGTGAAGACTGTTTGCAGGTGCTGAGATCACTCACTTGTGGGGGTTTTATTGTACTCGTCTGATCAACAAACATTTTTGATTAAATCACCACTTCATTGGCTCTAAGCACACAGTTTTTAATGAGGACAATATCTACTGCTACTGAGCATCACTGCACATCCAATACTCAGATCTGCTGGGGGCGACGGAGGAAAAAGGGGAGGAGACAGCCAGATGCAAGCTCTTTCTAAGGTGCAATTACAGATCTCAAATCAGAATATTCAAGCAAAAAGTAACCTTAGAGATCAAGAGGGCAAATATAAATATCTATATTGGTACTGATAAGTTAAAAAAAAAAATGGCAGATGTGATTAGTATAAGGCATTAGGAGAGCACGTGCCTCACCAAATTCAAAACACTTTTACAATTGGTATCAGCCAAACAAAATACATTTGTATCTGTATCTGGACCATAGTCAGTGAGTCTGTAACCCCTGGTGAAGTTCAAGTCCTTTATGTTACAGATGAGGAAACTAAAGTCCAAACAATGGGACTGACTTAGCCACGATGGAAAGATACAAAAGAACTACAAAGGCTGCTAGTATGAAAGAGCATTGTTTGTTGATTATTCACCATGCCAGGCACATGCTAGACACTTTATACATACTGTCTCATTAAATCACAAAAAACCACTGTGAGGTAAACCGCAATCTGCAGTGCAGACTGTGGGCTGTCCACTAAAACACACTGGCCCCTTCTTCCATAGCAATTGCGCTGTAGTTGAGCATGTGGTCTCCTAGCTGATGAATGCATTTCTCAGCCACCCAAGTGAGTTAGGTGAGGCCTCACATCTTAGCTCGCATCTTTGCCAATGGAAAGTGGGCACTCTGGACCTAGGACTCTTAAGACAGTGGGGGTGCTTCCTCCACTATCTTTCCCTGCCAGTGGACATATCAATGGGTTGCAGGCTAGTTCCATTCACAAGGTGACAACAGAGTAACAAGATCAAAGGAATACTGTAGAACCTCTACTGTCCTGGTACTCTAGACCAGGGTTTGGCAAACTATGGCCTGTGGGCCAAATATGGTCCACCACCTGCTTTGTAAATATCTACTGGAATACAGCTACACTCATTAATTTACATAGTGTCTACAGCGGCTTTTGAGCTAAGACAGCCTATCTGATTACAGCTGATTCTTGTTTTTTGTGGTAGTTATGTTCTATAAAATTGCCACCAACAATGAATGAGCGAATAGTGAATCAGGGTAGATTCCTGTGAGCCTCTAGTCACAACAATATTATCAATCGATCAATACAAAACCATGTTTTGTGTGTGTTTCTGTTTAAAGAACTAATTTAATGCATATTCTTGACTCATTCACATTGAACTCACAGCCAACAGCACTATAACTCAGGCCTGAACAAAGCTCATCTAACACACATTTTTCCTCTGTAAGGCATACACAGCCTTCCCACTCTTCGGAAAACTAGACAGCACTTCAGCACTACACCTGAGGGCTATTTTAAATAGGAAAATCACCAACAAAAAGCACAGCATTGCAAAAAAAAAAAAAAAAAAAGAAAAAAAAGAAAAGAAAAGAAAAATGTGGCATTAAACAGACCACAAAAAGGACACTTGTTGACGATGTAAGAACTGAAACAAGAGGACAGAGGACTGCCTTGTCCAACCTTAGCTGGATATGTGGGCCTCAAGTGATTCAAATTTTTTACCGCTTTGAGTTTGTCCATAAATTACTGCAAAAGCATTGCGAGTACTGATTTTGGGGTTACAAATACATTTTAGCAAGTAGGCAAATTCACAAATACAGACTCCATGAATGATGATCAACTGTAGTAGCAACAGAGACCACATGGCCCACAATGCCTATCGGATTATCTACAGACAACATCTGATGACCCCCGATCTAGCCTGTTAGAAAAAAAAATACTTTGTTTTTTCACTGACTTTTGGAGTTTCTGTTATAGCAGCTTATCATGTCCTAAGATAGACTATAAAGTCTATGCTCTTTCCACTACATAGTGCCATCTCATTTAACCATGTATATTCTCTTTTAGGAGAGTCATATTCCCACCAACCTTTTTTTTCCCTACCAAGTAGGCCAATATTTCTCAAGGGGTAGTGCTAAAACCTCCTCCATCAGCATGAATGTATGTAGCTTGTTAAAAACAAATTCTTTGTTAAACGTGCACACCCAAGTTCTATTGAATTATTCGGAATAAGGGAGCATTTAACTCTCCATTTGTAACAAGTTCTACAAACGATTCTTAATGCATTCTTAAGTTTGAGAACCACTGAACTGGTAGTAAATTCAAAAAGACTATTACCCCATATCTCTCTTGCAACCCCTGGGAGGGTGCTCTAAAGGAATAGTAACACAGGAGAAGCAAGATGCACTAGAAGGCAAATCACCTGTGCTTGATTCTCAGCTCCTTCACTGCTTCAACCTGGGCTCTACCTAAAACTTCAGTTTCCTCACCTGTAAAAACCTCACAGGCTTGTAGTGAGGATTAACTGAGAATGCAAACAACGTAGCATATAGCGGCTGTTCAATATGCATCAACTTTCTTTTCCTACTGTATGCAGCAAATTATTTTTAAGCTCTTTGGGAACACCGCTATTCCAGAATTCTCTACAAATTCCCACAGGTTCCTAAAGTAATTTTCAAGCTACAAGTTTCACCACTCCAGGGGGAAGCTTTCCCATCTCTGGATATTTAAGCCACTAGTAATATACTAAACAGTATGGACTCCTTTAACTTTGGGGTCCCCCTCACCTTCGAGTACCCGCCCCTTTTGGGTCTTCTTCATTTTACGTCTACTTTAGGGCCTCCTATTTCTGCGTCCAGCCCTTTTGGGGGCTTCCGTTCACCTCTATGTCTCAGCCCCTCTAGAGGTCCCCGCACCTCTAGTCCCCTCTCGGGCTCTCCAACCTTCGGTCCCCACATCGTACCCCTAACTACGGGTACCCCATCGGGCCCTCTCTCACCCTTGCGTCCCTCTCCCAAACCCGCGTCGCCCTTAATTCCTTCCTTTGGCCCCTCTTCCAACCAGCAGCCGGGCTGACCCACTACTCCGCCGCCGGAAGAAGGCAACTAACGATGTGGCCCACCCCAACTCTCCCCCTCACCTGTAGAGCGACGCCCAGATTCTCCCGCTTCTTTTTAGTCATGTTACTTGCCAGGATCCCCCAGTCATTATTGGACGCGCCCGTTGGTGGCAGCACGCATGCGTAAACACTCGTGCTTCTCCCTCATTGGCCTGCGAGGCGGCGAGAGGTGGAGCTACTGGAGGTCGCCATCTTATTGAGTGGCATGACCCGCTTGGTGCGGCCATGTTTGTGCGGGGCAACCGCTAGTTTGGAGTCTCAGCCTGGGGCTGGGGAGAGGATAGAGAACAAGATGGCCCCAAGAGAAACAATGGTCTGTCCAGGGATCAAATTGCCCCTTTCCTTTTCTAATTCAAAGCCACTTTAAAACGCTGATTTTTTTTCACTCCATCTTCTGTGCTCTTCTTTTTAGTGACCTCTCTGCCCACTTGAGGCCTAACTGCACTCCCCTACCCCCCATTCGCATTCTGTCTAAACTTCAAGACCCATTTCGAAAGCACTGCTGCTTCAGGAAGCCCCATCTCGAGTCCCTTGGCCTTTTGGGATCTGATAATGACCTTTTATTGTTATTCTCCTTTCGTCTTGTGTTCTTACCCACTTTTCCGTTTTATTGTAAGCATAGCCTACAACCATCACAGAAAACAAATGAAAAGCAGCATTTCTTATCCTACCACTGTTGACACCATTCCTGCCTTTGTTCCTGTGTATTTCCTTCCAGGCTTGCTCTGAGACATAGTATTTTATACTGTTGTAACCCTACTGTACAGGACACTGTAGACCCAAACACTTTAAAATGTCTTGACTGTGACCCCATGATAAAAACAAAAAAAAAAGTTTTTACATATCAGGGCCTAGTTACCCACACAACTGAAACCAAAATTGCTTGATAAACATCTTTATTGCCTGTGATGCACTCTGATATTTTCTATTCTAGCCTATTTCATTAAAAAAGAGTTGGCAACAGGAGACCTAGTAAGTTTATTTCATGACCCATTAATGGATATTGAACTGCAATTTGAGAAACACTCATATAGACATTTCTCCATATCTTTGAAATCATCATTTGTTATGGCAGTATATGCCACCAAGTAAATACATCTCATTCTTTTTATTGGACATTCTTTTATTGCACATTACCTCCAAATAACGCTAAGGCAAACATCTTTGCATACATAGCTCTGTCCTTCTGAATTCTTTAAGATAAATTCACAATTCTTTAAGATAATTCCACAAGTGGAATTATTGGGTCAAAGAGGATGAGACCAGAATTGAAGCTCTTTATTTTCAGACCAGTTATCTCTTCGTTGGAGCCTGTGTTTCTGTGTGTGAATAATAACCCAACTCAGTGTTTGGGGAAAAAAGTGTTTTCAGATCTATGTTCTCTTTTTGATAGAGTCATTGAATGATGGAGCTGGAGGGGACCTGAGATATCATCTCGCCTACTTGACTGAGGCCCACAGAGGAAAAGTGTAGTAAATTCCGTCTGAGCAGTAAGCAGGCTGTCGAGCAGTAAGCGGGCTGTCGAGCAGTTGTTTAGTGCAGTTACCTTAACACCCAGCACAGGAAAAACTTACTCAAGAACGTTATTCATCAACTGTCAATCAGCAGCATTTATTGTCAGAACACTTCCCAGCATTGATTCCAATCCCAGAAAAACCAGATTCTGTGCTACCCAATTATCACAGGCATTTGCCCAGGGGAGTGAGGAAAGGAGTAAAAACACTGTGTTCTTTTAGAAGATACTTCTTCTACATTTGTTTGGCACTACGAAAAAGTCATGGATATCTGGGTGCACGTCAGGTTGGTTTCTTGTGTCTCTCCCTCATTCCCCTGTGAAATAAAGGGCAAGCTGTTGTCCTTCTGCCTGAAGAACCTTGAATTTTCCAAACCAAACCTTGTCTCCTGGTTCTCATAATGGGACTAATACTTGAAATGGGGCTGGAATGAGAGCCTATGTGGGTTGTAGTAAAAGGGGAGGCTTTTGGAGTGAGACTGACCTGGATTTCAATCCCAGCTCTGCCACTTAGCAGCAGTGTAATTCAGGGCAAGGTACAAAATCAAGTTCGCTGAGCCTCGGTTTTTGTATCTATAAAACAAGCTGGTCACGCCAGGCTTGTAGGTTTGCTGTAAGAATTGCTAGGTGTTCAGTGCTGTGGCTAGTGAGTGACCAAGAGAGACTCGGCAGGACTGATGCTGCCAATTTTTCGTTATAGGGTTTCGCTTAGGAATTTTTGCCATTCATATTTTTGGTTATTGTGTTGATACTGGTTTCTATCAGCTTTGACACTATTGTCAAGTATTTGTTGTTAGGAGTTAGGGGCAAATACTTGGGTTGTTTCCTGCTATTAAGGGTGCATAGTTCACTGCATAAGGCAGCCCCCAACATACACAAGTGTCTCTCTCTAGAGATCATGTGCCCAAACATTATGGATAGTGCTGCCCCCCACAGTGTTGGGGAAGCTGAAAGAGCCCCAGGTAGCTTTCTGAGGCTTTTCATCTCCCTGGTACATACAAAGACCAGCTTTGATTCCCGTGGGGGCTATTGGCTAAGCCTACTGCAGTTTGGCCTGGCTTTGTGCTGGAAATTCTGCTCACACACAGATGGATTACTGTGGGCCGCCTGTCTGTCTGTCTTTGTTTTCTAGTGAACTGTAGTTCTAAACTGTCTATTAGGGAGTTTTAGAGCAAAGTATTTAAGGGAAATAATAGAGCATTGCATTGACCATTGACAGACTGGAGAACTGGATTCATTCCTGGCTAGGCCAGGTTTTCACTTGACCTTGGTCAGATCAAGCTTCCCCTTCAGCTCTTAATTTCCTCGTATGTGAAATGGGCACAGGGATGAGAACTAGACAGCTTATATATCCTGGGTTCTGTTTTTAATGACCTTGTTATTTGCAAAGTGCCCAGACATAAGGGCAGTCTTGTTGGCTATAAGGTAGACATAAAATAAGAACCAATCATTATCCTCGAGATATCTTCAATCTAGTTAGACAGACTGTCAACATGAAATAGTGAATGCCAGACATCATATAATTAAATACCAGCTGTCTGGTACTTATCGTTGATAAATTAGGAGCTCAGAAAAAAAAGAGAATACTGTGGGTACTGGGGGCAGCTTTGTCAAGGCTATGGGTCCAGGATGATGGGGGAGAGAGAACCCCTGGTAGGAACCCAAGGGGCTTCTTGGGCCTACAGGGGACACCTTTTTCAACTTTGCACAAAAGCACTATATAGGCTAGTTGCAGCCCTGACTTATTTGTCATGGAGACCCTTGGGTCAATTCTTCTATCTCTTGTACCATCTTGGGCTTGCCTGACCTGTGGGGCTCAGACCTGGGCCCCCACTGCTGCCCTGAGGCCACCCTTTCAGAGCAGGGGTCGGGGAAGAGTGGAATTGTTCACTGTCAGAAACATTTCAGGCAGGAAATGAAGAATTTCGTAGGTGGTTAAAAATACAGTGGAGGCTGATTTATGTTCGAATTTTGTTCCAGGGCAGCAGATTATAGCCCAAGTTCTGAGGCAAAGGCAGTGTCTTTATGGCCTGCTTGGATCAGTTTTATATCTTAGGGATTTTTATGTTTCAGCTTAGCCAAGATGCTCAAACTTTTTGTCCCATACTTCACTGGGGAACTCATGTACTACTCCTTGCACCCAACCTCATTTTACCATAAAAAGAAAAGAAAACGGAAGAGATGAAAGGGATGTTTTTGCTTGCTATTTAATTGGTATCCGGTTTTTAGCTGAATTAAATCAAATCATAAATAGAGGATGAATCCACATGAGACCCTGACGTAGATGTCAGATGACATCATGAAAACAAAAGGACAGAGATCTAAATTTTGTTAAATAGGCATATTCATAATATCTAGTTATCCATAATATTTTCTTGATGGAAAGAAATTTCTATTAGACATTATTGCCAAGATAACCTATATGGCCTTTCCCGGCAGGCCATGTATTTACCTTACGGCTACAGTACCTTTTGTAACTGATCATGCTTCCCACGTTTTTATTCATGAGGAATCTCAGACCTGAGCTGGTTCAGGAATTTTGTGCATAGATTTCCATGTGTTAGCATCCTCTCTGGCTTTATTTTATTTTTCTACCCTTGTTTCCCTTTGCTCTATCACTTTGTCTATTTTTGTCCTACTTTGTATTGTGTACATTTTGGTGAACTACCTCAAATCCTTTTTTTGGAACACAAAGGAGCATAAATAAATCAATAAATACATCCTATGTTTGTAAATACGGCACTTTGTTCTTTCTAGAGCAGTTTTTGCATCCATTAGCTCTGTGGGTTTTCAGCTCTGTAAAGAAAGTTGGGCAGCCTCAATCCCTCTATTGTGCAGACAAGGAAGCTGAGGTACATCCATGAATGAAGTACCTTGCAGAAGAGGACACACCCCTCCATCTATATATACCACATGAACCCCTCTGAAGAAGGAGACAGGCATAGAAACTAATAGCTTATTAGGTGACTTTTTATTAGTAGAAGGAGGAAACCAAGGTTGGGGTCACCAGTTGGAAAGGACACAAATTGGAGTGACCACTGGCTTCAGAGAATCCCCCAGAGTCCATACCTGTGTTGCCATCTCCACCCACCCACCCCTTTCTGATAACAAACCCATTCTCATTGGTCACATGGATAGGCGGCATGCGACACAAGCTGGGCAGCCAATCACAGAACTACATGCTCTTGGCCATGATGATTTGTTCAGATGGTAGGACAAATGACCTGACATGGGCCAATAGGAGTTCTTCACTAAGATTTTTAATCTCTAGCTGGAAAATGAAATCCTATCCAGCTCTGGTTATAGAACTATTGGGATGTGATTCTAGAACTGCTGAAAGCTGTGCTCCCTTCTATGAGGAGCTGCTCCTGTGGGATATGAAGGAAGGCAGGTGGCATGCATTGGGCAGCAGCTGTGACAGCTGGTGAGAGAAAGTGCCTTGTGGATGTTTGGAGCTCAGGTTCCAGGTGTCTCACCCTTGCCCCTCCCAGGATGGAGACCAAAACAAAAATCCTCTTTTTTGAGTCAGCTAGTTTGAGCTGGGTTTCTCCCACTAACAGGCTGGAGGTGTCTCAATTTGTGTAGTTTTTAGAC